CCCACACAGCAAGAATCACGTCACAAAAGATCGAAGAACTTGGTTGGGAGAAAATTCCTCATCCATCTTATTCTCCCGATCTTGCTCCTTCAGACTACCATTTGTTTCGTAGCTCAGAGAATCATTTGGAAGAAACAGCTTTTGTAACACAGGAAGAGGTTAAAACTGACATTTGTGAGTTCTTCGAATCAAAGCCAAAAGAATTTTCCAGTAATGGAATTAGTAAGCTTGTTAATAGATGGAAGGAAGTCATAGATAATCAGGGAAAATACATTGTTGATTGAATCTGTAATTAAATGTAACATTTAGTCACTTGTTTTCTTTATTCAAAATTCGGACAGAACTTATGGGATGACCTAATAAATTGACCCCATATACAAGGCAATAATGCCACTAAGACGCAAGGGGCTACTGGGAGTGAAAGAGAATGAAAAGACTGTATAAAGAACTGAAAACCCAATTCTAAACAGGGAAACAAGGGATAAATCTCTACTCCTGTTCAAAAGACCGGGGAGGAGTATAAACCGGACGATAAGCGGACCCATTTCCTCTTATTATCTAAATATGTGTCCTTTTTGTTTCCATTTTCCCTAAAACTTCCTTGTTATTCATATGTTCAGTTATTTTTTTAAGAAAAAGGATTTGCCGCTTTTTTTTTAACTGCGTTCAAATCAAAGAAAAACAAAAAAAATGTGGTATTCAATGTTTTCATTAAAAAAATAACATACCTATGACGTTATAAATAAAGATTTAGTCTTTCCCTCTTCTTAACATCTGTTCGTATTCTTTCGTCATAATTATTTAGTCATTCAAGCGTGCACGTAAGACTTCATAAAAGTGAAATAAAACTTACCTTTAAATTTATTTATATTATTCGGACTGTTATCCTCATCTTCATTGCCATATTCACAACATTTCGCTTCTTGTACGCTCCAGCCTTCTTCAGGTGATTGGATCTCTGCGATGGGGTATTATGATTATTTCCATTATTCGGGCTGTTATCCTCATCTTTATGGCCATATTCACAACGTTTCGGCTGTTGTATGCTCCGGCCTTCTTCAGGTGATTGGATCTCTGCGATGAGGTATTATGATTACTTGCATTATTTACTATATTCGGGCTGTTATCCTCATCTTCATTGCCATATTCACAACGTTTCGGCCGTCGTACTCTCCGGCCTTCTTCGGATGTTTGAAATTTCGAACCGAACCGTCCAACGGGGTAGATTGTTCTAGTTCCACATACCATGCCTCTTCCAGCTGTCTCAGTTATTTAACTCAACTCTCCAAGTTCTTTGGCTCACCACTGCTGTAGCCTGGTATTGAACTCACAGCTCTTCGGCTCTAGTCGCTGGATCTAACCAACGGGGTCATGTGTCCTTGAAGTATTAATTTCTGGGACTTATAAACCTAATGTCTCAACATTTTACCCGTGTTCATATTGCAGTTTTTCCGTTATTATTATTATTGCATATTTTTTACCTGAGCTTATATTGCATTTTTTGTGTGTTGTTATTCCTTGCAATGAAACGTGAAAATGGCAATGAAGATGAGGATAACAGTCCGAATAATGTAAATAATACAAGTAATCATAATACCTCATCTCAGAGATATAGAGGCTGAAACGTTGTGAATATGGCAATGAAGATGAGGATAACAGTAGGAATAATGTAAATAATCATAATACCTCATCTCAGAGATATAGACAGACTTTTAAATTTGTTATACTGATTGTATCTCCATTAAATTCCACTACATTCTGAGAACCAAATTCTATTTCTCTCTTGTTGTGGGCAATGTACCACCGACGTCAAATAGACCCCGTCTAAGCATTGGATATTAAACAAAATCAAATATAATTACAAGGTTCAAAACATAGCTGATTAATAATGGAACTGAACAACATCATTTTGAACGTCGTCTATATTAGCGAGATTCGCGGAAAAGAAGAGAATTGCTTTCAGCTGAAAGTAAACAATTATCTGATTTATTATCATAAAAATCAGAATAACACTAAATCAATAGTAATGCAACATCGAATGCTTCGTTAGTATATAAGGCAGAATAGCTCAGGTATTAATTAGATTATGCAAAAGACACACTACATAAGAATAATCCAATTATATGCACAAACATCGAAAAATTCAATTCTTTCCTTCGAGACAACCTCCTGGGTTAAATAGAAGGTTCACTTTGAATTTCTCTTTTGTACCAAGGCTTATCGTTACATCACGTTAAAACACATCACCTAAGTTAAACAATGGCGAAACTGGTCAGTAACTAGATGGGTGACCGCTTGAGAATACCCAGGTGCTGTAAGCTTGGAGGTGTGATTGGTGTAATGGATAATGACGTGGAGCTTTTTAATCAGAGAGCCGTGTTTCAATTCCAGTTGAGTTCTCTATATTCACTTACGCCCAAATACCCTTGGGAAAGTTATAAATCCACTTATTCTCTACCCAGCTATGGGTTAATAAGACTTGTGTCATTAAAACTATTATTATCTCGAAATAAAATTGCGTACAAAATATTTAGATTTCGGCATTAAATAACTCATAGAGGTGTTGATATGTCGCTAAGCAAAAACAACCACTTAGATATTTGGTACTTGCAGATTATAAATTTAAGCGTACCATTAAATTGGCGGAAAGGTCTCATCATATCACAATTGAAATGGATAAATGTAACCGTAAGTCCTATGCTAACAGATTCCTCAGTATCTGTCTATATTTCTGAGATGAGGTATTATGTACATTATTTACATTATTCGGACTACTGTCCTCATCTTTGTCGCCATATTTATTACAACGTTTCGGCCGTTGTACTCTCCGGCCTTCTTCAAGTGGTTGGAATATCAAACTGAACCCTTTATTTCGCTCGCTGGGGTAGACTGTTCTAGTTCGACATAACAGGTCTAATGGATGTCAGTTATGAGTTATCTCCTGTTAATTCCCCTCTCCAAGTTCTCCACTGCCTTAACCGGGTATTGAACTCACACTCTTTGGGCCCTGTCAATGAATCTAACTAACACCTTTATCCACTGTACCATGTGTCCTAGACACCAAGACACCAATATTCCGCGCCTTCTTAGGCTTACATTTTCACAGACATGATATACCATTTTAAAAAAATCAATCTAATTTCTTCTTCTTCTTCTTCTTCTTCTTCTTCTTATTCTTCTTCTTATTATTCTTCTTCGTATTATTATTATTATTATTATTATTTTCTTTGATTTCTGGCGTTTACACATTTCTTTCCAGGCCCCGCCCAGAACCTAAGGTTAGAAATGGCATCATGACACTTTCCACTTACCAAAAAAAAATAAAAAAAATTACATAGATAAAGCCCTTCGTAAAGTGTGGGCTGCACTTGTCAGAACAATTTTTTGTATCTCTTTGAGGGATGGACTTCCAGGAAATCCCTTCAATTAGTCTACTGGAATCTTTTCCAACCAGTCCTAGGGCTCCAACTACAACAGGGATTGTTGATGTTCCCATATGCCACATTTTATTATTATTATTATTATTATTATTATTATTATTATTATTATTAATAATAATAATAATAATAATAATAATAATAATAATAATATTGTAATCCAGATATGTGCCGGGAGACCATTTTCAAGGTTCCGATGTTATATTTATTTGCTTATAATAAACAACTATTTTTTTCTATTCGGATGTGCAAGAAAAAGGGTGGGAAATCATACAAAGGTTGTTTACAAGATTAGCCAGGAACATGAAGATGTTTCTCGAAGAAAAGATATAAATAGATACGGGGAAAAAAAAACAATAAAAAGGGACACCCACAGAGCACACACACACACACACACATGCGCGTGCGCAGTCAGACACAGTCATAATGGATATATATTAACAAAGGTGTACATACAAAGAATTTTAGTACTAGTACACATGTACTACATACATTCCCCCAAACAAAAAAAAAAACAAAAAAATACACTCGCACATATATCAGTCCTGATGAAGATATTTGTATATTCAGAACCGGGGCTTACAGTTGAGTAGAGTCATAGTTAAACTAGCTGATCATGAAGACGAGGCTTAAAGGAATGCAATCCCTACTAAGTACTAAACAGTTGTGGCCTTGTGACAGACTAAGCCAAATATAGTAAATAAAATATATGTATTTTATGAGTATCTAATCAAAAATTTTGCATGACTGTGCACACCAGAACTCAAGCGCACACGTTCTCTCCCTTCCTCTCTTTCTCTCTCTCTTTCTCTCTCTCTTTCTCTCTCTCTCTTTCTCTCTCATTATCGTTTCTATAGTGCTCTTCTTTCCCCTCTCAGTATGCGTTTCATCCTCTTTCTCTACACTACATTTTTAAGCCAATGCCTCCTCTCTCTTTTCCTTTCTTCCCCTTCGCTACAACATTATTTTTGCATTCAAGCATGTGTTTATGTGCATGCATATTTATGCGCCTGCGTGTATGTGTGTGTGTTTGTGTGCGCGCGCGTGTGTGTACGTGTAAATAGAAATCACTGTATGCATATGCGCCTGCGTGTATGTGTGTGTGTGTTTGTGTGCGCGCGCGTGTGTGTACGTGTAAATAGAAATCATTATTCGTATTTTTTCACAGTTTGCTAAGCTAATCCAAACAAAACATTATCCGCCAAAGACGATAAGAAAATTTAATAACAATAAATAATAATGATGCCAAAGACGAAAGACAAAGATCATGATGATGGTGGTGTTGGTGGTGGTGGCGGTGTTGGTGTCGGCTGTGGTGGTGACGGTACATTTGTAGGGCACGATGCTATTGATGATGAATTGTTTGATCAAGTTGACATCATTCATCTACATAATCTTCAAGGTCTGAGAATCTTCAAAACAATTTCCTTTTTCCTTAAATTCCGATTTCTCTCTCTCTCTCTCTCTCTATATATATATATATATATATATATATATATATATATATATATATATATATATATATATATATATATATGTGTGTGTGTGTGTAGCGATAAAGACATAAGTAGATATGAACAGACAGATAGATAGATAGATAGATAGATAGATAGATAGATAGATAGACGACGGACATAGATAGATATATAGATAGATAGATAGATAGATAGATAGATAGATAGATAGATGAGATGGATAGATAGATAGATAGATAGATAGATAGATAGATGATAGAAATAGATGAAAACGGACAGCTATAGATAGATAGATAGATAGATAGATAGATAGATAGATAGATAGATAGATTGATGAAAACGGACAGCTAGACATAGATAGATAGATAGATAGATAGATAGATAGATAGATAGATAGATAGATAGATGAAAACGGACAGCTAGACATAGATAGATAGATAGATAGATAGATAGCTAGCTAGCTAGATAGATAGATAGATAGATAGATAGTAACAGACTTTTAAACCTCCTTCAATCCGTTTTCCTCGCTTTTCTTTTCTTTTTTACGTTTCTTTTTTTGTTTTCCATCATTTTTTAATGTTTTTAGTTTTCTTTCCATGACTTTGTTTTCTATTTTTTTTAACTTCTTTCCTTTCATTCCTGATTGTTCCATATTTTTTTATCTTCCCTTTAAATGCGTCTCATTTTCGCTTTTTTACCTTTGACCAAAATTTCTTTTCCTTTGCTTTCTTCTTTTTTAAGACACTTCAGCGGTTATCTTTTTTACGTTAGTTTCATATTCACTTTTACTTTTCTTTTTTAAAACTATTTTTCTTTCTTTTTCTTTTTCTTTTTCTTTTTTTCCTTTTTTGGTAGTGGGTAGGCTTCTTTGGCGGCGTCACTTTTTTTTTTCATTTTCATAAATTAAATTCATTCCACTTTCTTATTTTTTCGATTGTTTTTCTTTCTGCCACTCTTTTTTTCTGTCTTCATCGCATTTTTTTCTTTTCTCTCCCAATTTATTTTCATTTTGACTTTATTTTTTTAATTATTTTTTTCAACATGGTGATGACGATTGGTAATTAATTAAATCGGCAATGCAGTTAGGAGACATCTTATCGACAAAATGGCGCGTGGCATCACCGCCGCGGCTCTTTCTGTATGCGTCACTATGCATTGCAACCTATGCATCTGTTCGTAAATATTTATTTACACGCAATCCCGGATACGCATACATACCGAGGGATACAATGCAGGTAGCTGCGTATTTATGTAAAGGTACACATATACTATACATATGCATACGACTGGTTGGTATCTCAGAAGTGCGTACAACAGAGTCATTATTTTTAAATGTTAATGTCTAATTTGTAAGTATATACAGATGTGTGTGTATCTTTCAACATGTATGCAAGTGAGTGTGTGTGAAGTGGAAACGTGCGATTGTGTTTAGAGTAGTTTAATTCGGGATGGATGTATCTGTGCAAAAACGCACGTGCATGCGTATGTTTACAAGGTGTATTTTCCGGAACGAAGCCCGCAGGAAACACGTCAAACATTTCCTGTTGTTGGCAGAAAAGGGGGTTTCTGACTCACGTGGCAATAACTACAACAACAACGACAGACGACGTCGACGACAACAACAAGGGGGTTGGGTGGGTGTTTAGCAGGGTGGGGAACTGTGTGAAGGAATGTTTGGGAGGGGAAACATTGTGAAACGTACAAAAGAATGGGGTACGATAGATCTGAGAGAGGGGTAGATAGACATGTGAATAGATAGATAGATAGATAGATAGATAGATAGATAGATAGACAGACAGGTAGATAGATATTGCAGATTTAATGAATACATGATTGTAATAGATATAATTAGAGGAAGAGTATGTAGCTTCAATACTCAAAATGGAAAAGAATGCTGTCAACTCTGAAAGAACTTTTCAATATTTTGATATTAAACACTGATGACAATCTTGACATACACTTACGCACCCACCACACACACACACACACTATATATATATATATATATTTTTGTGTGTGTGTGTGTGTGTGTGTGTTTGTGTGTGAGATGAGGTATTGTAACTATTTACAGTTTTACACTATTTACTTTTTTCGGCCTGTGGTCCTCATCGTTAATGTCATGTTCACGACGTTTCGATCGTTGTAAGCTCGGGCCTTCTTCGGCTGACATATATTGGAATTGACTTGGTCAAAGTCATCCAAAGAGTTGGGACATATGAAGAACGCATATGAAGAACACATGGCGCAGTGGGTAAAAGCGTTTGTTGAATTAATCCAGTGACTTGACCCAAAGAGTTGTGAGTTCAATACCTGGCCACAGTAGATGCGAGCAAAAACTTGCAAAGTTGAGTTACTAAAGGGGAATAACTAAAACTGAGATATCCAGAAAAGGCATGGCACGTGGAACTAGAACAATCTATCCCGTGGACTAAATAAAAGGTTCGGCTCGAAATTACAACATATATCAAATGAAGAAGGCTGGTGGGGTACAAACGTAGTGAATAAAGATGAGGACAAAAGTTCGAACAAAGTAAAGACAAAGAGTGTAAATCTGTTATTCTTTCCACATGTCAAGAGTTCATAATATTTTCTGTTTGGGTGTGTAGAAATATATTAAATTATATTTTAGAAGAAAGGATGTGCAGAGAAACCCCGCCTATTTGCGCTTCAGCATTCGCAGCTTCACATATTCGCGGATTTTTCTTTAGAACATATGTACTTTTTATACGTGGAAACCCCGAATATTCGTGTGTTTTTCTGAAGAACTTATGCACAAATTATTCGCTGAGAACTCCCTCGATTCGCGTATTTTTTCCATAGAACATATTTAAAATATTCTTGTATTATTTTCCTGTTATTTAAGTGACTTAAAACATATAACAGTCCATTTTTATGGTAAAAAATTGGCAGAATTGTACATCTTCATTGTAAAAAAAACAAACGCAAAATCGTGTAGTTTTGTTCTTTGTTAGGGGCTGCAGCTGGGGTCTTAAAAGAGGTTTATACTAAGTCTGGGGGCATCATCACAGTTCTAGTTTTAGAATATGTTTTAAACTTCATATTCTATGTCTTGTTACACATAATTTATACAATATTCTCAATGGTTGTATCGATCTACGCGTAATTAAAAAGTTATTGTACGTATGAAAGAAAATTTACGCGAAGTGTATGGTCACCAATACAATTTTTTAAATTAAATGTGTTTTAAAAAGGATCTGAAATGTTTCTAAAGTGTTTAGGATGAAAGTTTAAGGCATATGGGGTTTTAACAATCAAAATAGGTACTTATAAGCACTTTTAGGGGGAGGTTGCAAGTATTCGCGGATTCTAATTGTTTGCGGCCGGTTCTGGTCCCTAACCGCCGCGGATAAAGAGAAATTTAAGTTAACTTTGTTTAAATATTATTTATCAAAAATGTAATCTTCTTCTTCTTCTTCTTCTTCTTCTGCTTTGTTTTTCTTCAAAACTAATCAAAAAGAATAATCCATTATTAATGAGGTATTGGCAGAATTTCTTCCCGCCTTTCTTTCTTTCTTTCTTTCTTTCTTTCTTTCTTTCTTTCTTTCTAGCCAAATCCCCGTCTTGCGAACATTTATCTTAATAATAATTTTAAAATAATTCAGCAGACGATGTTTTTTATTGTTTTGTTTTTTTTTGTTTTTTTTTTGCCTTAAACGGTTTTCATCGTTCGATACTGTGCATCTGAAAAATACCACTTTTTATCGCGGTGGCCATGGCTTCTCTGAGATCAAAGTGCAGTATCTGCTCTTAGTTTAATCTGATTCTCTCGCTCTCTCTCTCTCCCTCTCTCTCTCTCTCTCTCTCGCTCTCTCTCTCTCTACTTCTATCTTCTCTTTTTTCTTTCATTTTCTCACTGAAATCAAGTAATGTCTTTTCCACGCGATCAAAACGCAGAATAGTCCATTATTTATGAGACATTGACAGGACATAATGGTCGTGCTAACTGGCGAAGGGAGGAACGAGCACAATTAATAATAGGATTCTCCTTGGAAAACAGAATGCATGTTTAGGCTGCAACCTTTCTTTTAAACATGTTTAGTTGAATATGACAGAAAGAAAATTTAATTAATTTTTTATTTAAATTTATATATATATATATATATATATATATATATATATTGTGTGTATTTAGGCAGCATCTTTTCATTCATACACGTTTCATTAAATAATATAGACAAGTGTTGTTTATTTATTTTATGTAAATTTTTTTCGTAACATAAATAACATTATCGTTGAACGAAGAAAGAAATTCACAATATTGATCCATATTTTTTTTAATACAATCTAAGCTTTCGGCTTACATAAGCCATTATCAAAGATGTCAATTACAACATATTAAGCAATATACGGACAAGACAGTGATGATAGTCTGTCATTGTTTACATAGATGATTTCTAAGCAACGATAAACACGTGCATATAATCTCTGGTCAAAAGGAAAAAAAAACACCGACAGTGTACTTAACTTGGACGTAAAAGTGCTCGATACATTGAGTAGAGCAAAATTATGATACCTAAAGAACCAGAACCTATCTACCTAGGTTTCTGATGATCCGGTAGGTGAAACATAGGTAGAGAGGGTAAATAGGTATATATATATATATATATATATATATATATATATATATATATATATATATACCAACGGACAGCCCGAGTAAAACAACGACTATACGTTCTAGCCGTTTGAAGATCGCGAGAGCGTAGAACACGAGTAACGACTCGGGCTGTTGCCCTTTGATAGGATTTAACGTCGTGAAGCGTTTATTACTCTGTCTAGGTAATCTATGCGTTGAGCACTTTACTTTTATTTAGTAAGTAGGTGTTTGCCTTTAGGTCATCTATTTATTTTTTCTTTCCGTGTTCAAGCTTTTCTCTTGATTAAGGTGTTAGGTCTATTGGCAAGTTGTCTGTTAGTTACATCAACGTAGTTGTTTTTTTCTTTCATATATATATATATATATATATATATATTATGAAATGGACTAAGTCCAACAATTATTTTAATATATTTTTCGTTTATACGTTTATTTTATATATATATATATATATAGTGTGCTATATTTATGGGATAAAGTGCTCAATATCAGAGATAGAGCGTGTGTAAATATAAAAGTGAACATAGAAGTCAACACTTAGAGGCGACAGGCTGATTCATGCTAGACGCAATCGTCGTGGCCTGACGATTGCGTCTAGCATGAAACAGACTGTCGCCTCTAAATGTTGACTTCTATGTTCACTTTATATATATATATATATATATATATATATATATATATATATATATTATACGTTATTTTTTTAGATACAAATATTTAAGTGAATGCTCTATTTATAATAAACAGTATTAACAACATTTGACTGTCAGAGAAATCTAAAAGAAAATAATTGTCGGACTTAGTCCATTTCATAATATATATATATATATATATATATATATATATATATATATATATATATATATTATATTATATTCTTACTCTACCCTGGACATTGAGTTGTACCTGGATTCTACCCTTTTGTGAATATATATATATATATATATATATATATATATATATACTAGCAGTAGAGCCCGACGTTGCCCGGGGATGTAACAGTAAGAGATAGATCAAGTATCGACCATCATAAAGACTGAAAAATAAAATTGACAAAGATTATTGTTTAAGGTTGACGTACACGCATGTCTTAATTAGTTTTTTTTTTTGGTTTTGTTTTTTTTTTACGAATTGGTCAAACCCAAACTCAAACAAAAACATTGTTTACAATCGTTATGATGAGTCCCCTGATTGAATAGAATTAGAATTTTATTATAAACAATTGTCTTGTAAATGGAATTTTTAAAGCATTCTGAATGTATAAAAAAAGAAAAAAGTGTGCAAGACAATAAGAAACACTACCTGCCAAAAAAAAAAGTGGATGTTTGTTTTATCGGCTGAAAAATGTAAGAAATCCGATCCCATATATAAAGGAACACACACACACACACACACACAAACAACCCGATGTGAGTTGTCCCCATTTCATTCTCACGATGTGTCTTAATCGTGTTTTCAAATTGATTTTGTTAAAAAAACACTTGTGTTTTTCCCATTTTTGGCGCCGTTAGAACCACCACAAGGTAATTTTATGTAGTCCTTTGAAGTTTTGTTGAAATCGGCTAAAAAATGTAGGAAATCCGATCCAATATATAAACGTTACACACACACACACACACACACACACACACACACACACACACACACACACACAATCTGCGTTTTATAATAA